AATTTTAACCATTTAAAAAATTAGATAAAAAAAACAATCTTATATAAACATTCAATTTAGTAATTTGATTTAAAAATATTTGCATTATCCATAAAAAAGAGTTGAATATTTTGATGTTTTAACAAATCCTAATTTTGCAGACCAGTGATTTTTATACTATAGGACGAATTCAAAATTTACAGCTGTAATATTTTACGTTGATGTCGTGTTTTCGGTGAGCTGTAAATCCGACAAGTAGAGATACAATTCGATAGCAAAAACCGAAAAGGAAAAAAAATATATAAACGTTATTTACCCATTAAAGTCTTTATATACTGTTAAAATTGTAGGTTGTGTTCGATGCATGATTTTCATTGGTTGGGTATGTTATCGTATAGGTAAATATTTTAAATATTTGCTGGAGTAAAATCTTATATATCACGATAAAATACATTTAAAACTAAAATATTGTTGAATTTTGCAAATATTTTATAAAAGTACACATGAATATAATGCATTTAATTTTTTTAGTTAAAAAAAAAAATAAAAAAAATAACCGTTCAGAATAATTATTGTGTATATATTTATTATGCTTTGTGGACGAACGGATAGCTATTGATGGACAATGTTTATATTTATGCGTGATATTAATGCATTTTCAGTGATACTTACTAGTATATCTCAAATAAAACTTTTAATGTCGCTATACAGTTAATCAAGTTATATCTTTGAGAGACTTAGATTAATGTCAAACGAAATGCCTTAGAAATTTGATGTGTATGTATGCTTAGACGTTTAGGTATCTATTCATATTGTTAAATAATGATTTAATTTAACAAAAAAAAAAAAAAAATCTATGGCATTAAAAATTGTGTCAATTGGTCAGGGAAATTAAAATTAAAATTATTATTATTGTTATAATATTTAAATGGCTCGCTAAATTTTAAACTTATTTTTCATTAAAATTAAAAATAAACTAAAGTTTGATTGTGTGTGTGTTATTGTGTACCAAGAGCATACAAAGTATCGGAACAAACTGTTTTCGAATTCGGTTATGAGGAGAAAAAAGGGTAGGTATATGATTTTGCGAAAGTATACAAATTTGTTTCACTCGTAAAAGCGATATTATTAAAGTTTTTATATCCATTGTGCGCTGGCAATGTTTCATTGTTTCATTCATAAAAAATGAATGGTATACAGTAGTGTATTATTATGCTCGAGGTGATATATATATACTGTGAATAAGTTATTTTTTTGCTTGAAGCCATATATTTATAGTGAAAATGTTAACAAAAATAAGTCAGTTTCTTTGTTTATTTATTTTTTAATGAGTATAACACAAGTTTATTATAATAATACATACAATTTGATAAAATGGTAAATAATACTTATATTGTCTATCATTGACAACGATAGAATTTAGTCTGTTAAAAACTCATTAAATGAATTAAATTACATTAATTTTATGCTTTTTAATTATTGAATTTATTTAACTATGTTTCTTCTTTATGCATAAATTAGTTTTAATTCAGCAGTATGTTAATTGAAGCACATTTAGCTATTATCGATTAGCTAAATGTGAGGGAATCAGTTCAACCACAAACTATCATTTTATTTCAAAAGTTGATATTTATATTATATATTATAATAACAGCGAAAATATTTTTCTTGTTACAAATAAAAATAATTATAAAGTAAATATCACAGTTTCATGAGAACATTATTGGTTTACCCTATTTAAATAAAAAATTGATTTAAAATATGTTCATTCTTTATAATTGTTTTAATATAAAATATGTGGAGTTTAAACTGCTCAAAAAAGTGTTAATCCATAAGACCTATCACCTATATTATTTTAAAACCAATAAGCTGGTTCTTTATTATTCCACACTTTAAAATTGACTTAACCTATGTGAATAATTATATAATAATATTTTAAAATGATTTTAAACACACTTTTTGACTAAATTTCGTCTAGACATTACAAAAATAAAAATACGTAGGTTTTCACAATCACAATCCCTTGATTTCCGAACTATCCACCAAATCTATTTCTAGTGATCCCAAAAGGCGTCTCAAATGTACCTGGTGTCGTGACCTGCTAAATTAAAATTACTATAATTTATACTCCCTCTTGTTATCAATCTTATTCTCTCTTACTAACATTTTAAAAACAAACTCCTAACATTAAGTGCCTCCAATGGGTGGCTTCTTATCTCCTGTCTCTCAAACCATGTTTTTTATTATCTTCATCGCATACGATTATTATAAAATAATAATTACAGATTGTGCATTTAATAATAATTGTAAAAAAAAAAAAATCGAGAGTATCTACACTACATACAGATACATTGGTACATGTATATGTCTTGTTTCTACTGAATATAATTGACATAAGAATGTTGATGTCAATTTGGTATTAGATACGAGGAGACGAGGATTAAACTGTAGGTAACTTTTTTAACCCATATAAAAAATAAACAAGTTTCAATGACAGCAATTATTTATCGAGTATACATTTTTCTAAATTTTTATTTAAATTTTTAATTTTTTAAACTACGGAATCGTCATTTACAATATTTTTAGTGATGGATAATAAAGAACGGTGTGTATTGAAATATGAAACGTACTCACGAGTTTCGAGTTTCTCAATGTGTCGATAAAAATAGTTAATAAAAAAATAAATAATTGAAAATAGTTATTTTTATCGTCAATACATTTATTATACAACGGGCTATATCTAATGTTACTAATAGATCACAAGCCACCGCGATTCCGATAACGTTCGTATAATCGCTAATTTCCTGGAACCGGTCCTCATCGATCGATGCACACACCCACACGCACACATGAACGCACCAATGACGTTATGGTAACATTCTTGGTGTCAGACAAATTAACAGAATGATCCCCAGCCATAAGACATATACATGTCAAAAAAATGGGTAAGTAATTAAGTAATTTTACGATGGTTAAATAATTCTATTACAAAAGACTATTTTAACGTTAATTTAATTCATCGTATAGACAATAGTAAATATAAATTTGATATTTTGATTAAAAAACCGGTTTAATAGCTTAAATATTGTTGGTCTCTGCAACTCAGATCATTTAAATTGAAAACTGTGTTTTTTAATGATATTTATTCTTTTGTAATTTGTGTTAAACATAACGATATTGTGAGTAAAAATTATATAAGTTTATTTTTAAAACAATAATAATAATAAAAAATTAATAATTATCATGGGTTTATATGAAGTAAATGTAAGTTTTCGTTTTTAATTTTTTTATTTATAACATAGATATGGCGATATTATGATCACATCGTATACTATTATGAAACAATATTTATACACGTTGCATACAGCTAAAGGTGGTGTTAAATCAAATAGAAAAAAAAATGTATATATGAAAAAAACTTGTATGAAAATGAATTATTTAAATTTAATGAAATAACTTTTTTTTTCATTTATATTGTTATTTTGTTTTTATTGAAGTTGCTATTTTTCGTTTTTAAATGTTTAAGACATTTATCCATTCATGGCGTATAGCTATGACAAATTAATGATATACGGTTATACGGTCGTATCTATCGTATATTCTATGTAATAATTTTAAATAATACGTATATTTACATGAAGATTTTCCCACGGGGTTTTCTATACTTAATCACATTTTTGTACATTATTTTCTCACGTATAAGAGAACCGAACTATACGTTGTTAGAATATTTATTTGATTATGGGATATAAATATTATTCTATGTATATTATTTAGCATGTGTATAACAGTGTTGACTATATTTTGAACATGCAGTGTGATAATTGAAAATTAGGCACGTAGGTGATATGCGCGTGCGCAAAAAATGATAACATTTTATTTGATAAAAATACTTGTGATAACTGTAATGTACTAATGTCGTACACGAAGGTAAAATATATCTCGGTCTCGTAGCGGATCGGGCGGCGGTGTCGTCGGTGGTGAGTGAGGTGAGATGGGGGAATATAATATACGTCACGTACGGATAAGCGGCGAACTAATTACTAAACAATAGGATCAGTTGGATCAGCTGAATCAGCAGGATCAGGTGACAGAATTGTTCAAATTATATTATATTGTTAAAAGAAATAAAAGTTATAATTCGAGCTGAGCGACAAAAATTTTTTTGGACTCTACCTGGATCTCTCCATTATGTATATCTACGCGAATAAGCGTATATCCACGGTTTATTTTAGCAATACATCACTGGACTTGTAAGGCACTATAACTCCATGGTTATGTTAGACGTGTTTGTGCTCAGTAAACATAAGTTGTACCTAATAAGTAATAGGTCTTTGTAATACTATGTCCTATTATATTTTGTGGTATAATATGCATATATTAAATCTGTATTGCAGGATCTACATACTATTTATCATACCATGTAGGTATCTTTTAAAACGTTAACAGTTCAAATTAATGTACTTTTCTGGGTATACTTTAAAAACACATTACTTACTGTAAAATAATTATTTCCCTGCAATTTTTTTTCTATAATTATCCTCACTAGTTTACAGAAGAATTCAAGCCAACTTTTAAGTTAGTAATATATATTTTCTGTTTTTCTTAAGTGTAGTCTTTTTCTGTATCCATATGAACCGTTAATTATTTTATCGAAGTGCTAACCCTAATATGGACAATGCAAATTGCTAATGTTCAACCATCTTTTTTACTATTCTTAATATTATTGCTATTTAATTATTTTGTAATTTTTTTTTTTTTTTTTTGAAGGAGGGGTTATATAATCAATAATAATTTATTATAATTATAAATAATAATATAATATAAGCTATCTATTGAAAAACGGACAAGCGATAATAGTGTACCTAAATAGCCTATCCATGACGCCGTGTTATCACTATTTAAATATTGAAACCATTAAAAAAAATGTATCATACTTTACAGTAACGCAATAAATAATAATACATGTGTAAATGTAATAATTTATAATAGCAACAAATAGCAATAATTTTTGTACTAACCCTCCCATCTTGGATGAGTTTCTCTATTGCTTGCGTCACTGACTTGAAGTCCTTTGTGAAGAAAATGTATTCCGCCATATCTTCGGGTGTCGCTTCCACGTTGAAGTACGACGACACCGGTGGAGGGAATTGCGAGTCCTAAAAGTGTATCAAAACTAATATTATATACAATTTTTAATTTGGGAAATGGCTCTTTATGTGATATAGGCATTTATATTATCATTAATCAAATGTAATTATTGAAAAGATTCAAAACGAGACTATACTATTATTTTTTGATTTGATTTTAAAAACATAAACGGACATGGCAACCCTTTGAAAATATAATATTATTAACATATTTTATTTAGTATTAACAAATAATAAATTACGTAATATCATAAGATATTTTATAATAGATAAACGGCAAACAGAGGGTACTTATCGCTAATATCATCAAACGTCTATAGTTGGTTGATTTTTTTCAAACAATATTTATGATGCATATTATCATAGAAATTTAAATATATTCAAGAGACCTTGAGGACAATCACTAGGTAACTTTGAAATATACAGTTCTCTCGACTCTTACGTAGTTTTTTTTGTCGTATTCTCTGTATTTGCTGTCTCGTTTCCTCGACGGTTCGCCGTTTGATGTGTACATAGTTTGTTTGTGTACGCCCTTGCTCGGTATGTCCACCGATAACTGTACCCTCGTGTCCGGCCGAACACCAGCTTCGTGGTCGTTTTTCGACAAAATTTTTTGTTCCAGTTTGGCCATCAGCTCGCCGTTTTTATTCACTAAATCGACCGACAAAAATCGTGTCAATATTATTTATGGCGTACACCGTATACAAACCATTTGTAGTTAAAATAAAAAAAAATTATAAATTTAAAATTTATCCTTCTTAACAGCATCATGTATATAACGCACAAGCAGTAACTCTCGAATCAAAAAAATAAAAATAAAATATGCTCAATCGTAGCCTAACTTGACACACTCGTGTAGTCATGAACATATAATTTTTTTATGCAAGCTTACAATTTAGGTATCAATATAAAACGTACATTTATGGAGCGTGTACATAATATTACGACTATGTCATACTGTTGTTATATTTTATGGACTATTTTTCATTTTCCTTTCCAGAATAGATGTACCTACTTAGTTTACAAAGACCACAAAAATGTTTTCTACCACGAACATATTATCCTATTATAACAATACTTAACATTTTTATCTCGTTATTTAACGTGTAGTCGTTCATGGAAACCGTATATTAATCTTATACAAAATTATGCTTAATGAATATTTTTTTTAAAGTATATCTTATGCATGTATTTTGAAAGAGTTGATATCAAAAACTATTTTATTAATTTCTCACATTTCTTATGAATTATGATATGTAAGTATGGTACTAATGCATTTTATTTTGCAAAACCATCGAACAAATATAATTTTTTATCAAAACGTCTAACTAAAATCTTATAGCCATCCATATTTTCCTTTCTCATTTCTTTATACATAAGATAAAATATAATCAATAATAATGTAATGTAGGTATATTATATGTTATTACTAACGTTGTTGTTTTATTTTAGCATCAGTTTTCTCTTTGCCATTGTCATTTGTGTATGATGATTCATGTGTTTTCACCATTGAAATTGATTCAGACAGTGCTCCTGATAAAAAGAGTAAATTGATTGAACATTTTATTGTTAAATTTTTAAATTCCTTTAATTACCTGTAGGAGCTTTCAATTTCTCCAACTCTTGAACATCCTGATCAATTGCCTGCAAAAATTACATACAAATAGTATGGTATTTAGATATATTATACATTTTTTGATTGATTATTATTTTAACTCGACGATTTGGTCATTAGCACATCGTAAATATATATTATTATAATTCAATATTAATTGTATTGTTAATATGTTGTAAAATATAATTTAGTTAAAGTTCTGTAGACTACAACAAATAAGTCTTAAATGTTGTACAGTATGTAATATGGTATAAAGAAGAATACGTTAGGTATAATATATAATATGTATAGATATTAAAAATTATTTTTATTATATTGTTTAAACTTTAACTCATATTATTAAAATTTTACAATAACATGATTATAATTTATTAAAATACAGATTTTAAACATAATATTACTTATTACTTATTAGTTTTTATTCATGTTTTATATTGTTGCTATTTATTACATAATTTATTTTCATTTAATCTATCTAATTTATAGTTAAGTAATATTTTACTCATAAAAAATAAAAATATATTTATATTATTATGTGTTAATTATTTATTAGTATTTTAATGGTATGTGATTAAATATTAATTAATTATATTCATTCAAAAATCAAGGAATATTTAGCTGTATGGAGACAAATAATGGTTTTTTGTTTGTTTTATAATTTGTAAGATATTTTATTTGGTGCTATTATTTCAGAACTATTTTAATCAAAAACCTTGTACGATATTGAGTATCTTAAACAGTTGATATACGAGTATTTTTAAATTTTTTTTAAGTTAAATAAACTAAGATTACAGAACAACTCTCACTAGTCTCAGCATTCTCAGAACAACCCGATTATATAATTTTTAAATATACAAGTGAAATAGATGCATAATATTAAAATATATTGCTATAATTTGATGTATTTGTTTGAAGTTCAAATAGACTTTTGACTTACTATATTATACAATTTACTGTATTTCACATACATTATTAATTTAAAGCTTATTACGTTTTAGTAACCATTAAAGCTCAATACAACTTAGTTGAAATAATGAATAAAAAAAATAAAAGAAATACAAAGTTACTTGCATATTTAACAAATTTATTTTCTAATATTTTCAAATTAAACAAAATTTATTTTTTTAATAACATATAACATATTGTATATATTATTAAATGTATTACAAAGCAAAAGTAATTACATTAAATTATTAAACTTTCATTGAATTGGAAGCTTAGAAAGTCTTTGTTTTTTCTAGAAAATTAATTAAATTGTTTAAAATTAATCTTTTTCGAGAAAATGTCATGGCTATGATACAATATTTGGTTTAATTCAAAAGATAAACACATTTTTACAGATCTTTATCATATAATTACTATGAAATGGAATTTCCATTTTTTTATTCTATAAAAAACCTTTTTACTATATAGCGAAAAATCTGAGTCTCATGAAATTATAGAAATCTTTATTCAAAATTTTTGGTTGTCATTTGTAAAAGCTGGCTTTGAAAGCTTGAAATATATTTTAAATGGAATTTTTTTTAGCTACCTATATAAAATAAACTTGCATGAGTTTTTACACGTTTGTAGTTTATATTCTTAAATTTTAATTTTTAAAACCATAGTACGTATACACTACGATAAATAAATATGTATCTTATTGATTTTACCTATACTACAATGAAATGAAATTTTATTGTTAAATGATTTATTTATGGCACATATATTTAAAATTTAAATATTGAAGATACCTTTTACATTTACATAATCGGATTAATGTAAAAAGATAGGATTGGTTTCAATGAATATTTGATCATTTATGAAATTTTATTTGAAAGTAGTTTTTAATTGATACGCGTGTACTTTAGAAATCCACTTTAAACCGTTGGTAAGTTATAGAATGGAGGCGGGATAGTCGTTTAATATGTATATATAATATACATTTATCATTGAGAGCATCGATTTGCCGATTTTGTAGATGTATTATTTAAAGTTTAAGTATATATTCACAGTTGCCAACCAAAATCTAAACCAACAACATACTGTAATATATTATGCTTTAAACTAAATATTGAAGATGTAACACCCATCGCTCATTACACGGCCATTGTATAGACCTTGTATTATGTGATCACTGATCATCAATCAAGGTTATATAATATTAACAATACTTTAGAATGATAAAATATATAATTAAAATGTGTATTTTATCTCTGTAACATCAGATAATAAATATGTGTTTTCTGTATGCTTAGTTCATCTTACATAAAACATATATTATATTTAAGTGTATACAAATATTTTCCAAAAATAAAATACATTTTTTACATAAATAACATTAAATTGTTTTATAAACTTACCCGAGGAGCGGTTTTTTTAAAAACAATGTCCTGTGGGATATCTGAAAATTAAAAAATACAATTACATATTAAGATGTATTTTTGTGTAAATGGAATTAAACACATTTGGTAGTTATTAAACCTTATTGAATATTTTAAAAGGAGAAAATTGTGTGAATCAAAAAAATATTATGTGCGTTATTATAACGACTTTAAAATAATATATCTTGTTTTTTAAGTAAAATATTAGAGCGGGGGGACATTTTTTAGTGTTATATTTTAAATTGATATTATTAAGATATGGAGCTTTCACTATAAACTCGTCTTTTTTGATGTTCGGCACCAAACACAGTCATCCAAAAGCGCCAAAACAAACTTGTATTTTATGATTAATATAAAAAATAATAAGTCAATAATATTTTGTATTATATATGTTAAAAACAAAATAATTTAAACAAATTTGGTTAGTCTAAAAATAATAATTATTACGACAAAGTAATAATATGCACAGCATTAGAAAATCAACATATCACTCATTTTATAATCATTTACTATCTTAATATTCGAAAATCTTGTTACAAAATTAATATAGATAAAATCCCAATTATACATATCCTAATGCATTTTACTAATTTTGTATTGATATTTTGTGATAATGAATTGCCTAATTTAATAATTAAATTTTTTGTATTCCAAAATTATAGATAATAAATTTAAAAACTTATATCATAATTGATTTAAAAGAATGTCAGCGTACTGCTTGTTTTCTCTTTTTGATTTACATATAACATAATATATTTGAGTTTGAATCATCTTAGTGATGTTTGTTTTAGTATTAGAGTAAATTGAAATGTTATCAAACTTTAAGCTAGGAACATTATCTGTAATTGCACATTGGAATCTTTTTGTTATTTTTTTTTTATACAAATTATATGAGTTTATAAATTATTGAAATTTAAAAATGCTTATACTTCACTATAATATTAATATATAACGTATACAGTTGATTCTACAAACACATATAATGTTCTTAACTTCAATTTTAATATACTAAAGCTAATAACTTAAGATAGGCTCTGCTAAACAAAAAATATTATGTATGTTGCATATGGGTTACAGAAAGGAAACAAATAGCGCGATTACATCTTCTTAAGACTATTACATTTTTCAGCAGAGAGTTATTTTTTAGTTATATTCATAAAAAAAATTAAATCATATGTTACATACAAAGTTAGTAAAAATGATTATAACGTAGGGCGTTAAATATTTAAATACGTTTCTGCATTTAATGTGACATACAAATATGAAATAATAGTTATGTAGGTATTAGCGGTATACAACGTAATTATGTTAAAGATATTAGTTTTCTTGAAAAGTTTTAACATTTTAAATAAGCAATATTTTTAAAATTGTATACCATTATATTAGTTTAAATTCCTTAAATTTTTAAATGATTATAATTTTTCAAACATACAATGTCAACAAAAATTAAAAATTAAAAATATAGCGATAAAAAATTGTAAAAATTATCATTTGTTTAATTACGTTAAAATAAATTTTCAAAAATATTAATATTATTTGATTAAATTAATGCTTTAAAAAAAATTCAGTAACATAAAGAACTGCTATATAGTTGGTAATTAGGTTTAATTTATATCATAATAATAAAAAATAATATATTTATGTGCGTATTATTTGTTATCAGGAATCGTTTTATGAATTAGTTTATAGTTGGTATATTTGATAATAACAACTGGGTTTCCGAAAGTAGTTAACATATTATCAGCCACTATTATATAATAAAAAATAGTAATAATCCGTATAAGATTGAAGAACAATTAATTTGATATTTAGTAAAAGTAATATGCTTAAACTATTATAGTTGTACATCTTACATCTTAAGAAATAATAAAGCACAAGAAACAAATAATTACAATTATTTGAAATAGAACGTTACACAATTTAATTGCCGATAATAATTTATCATGCATTGCATAAGAATGCTTTAATTTTTTTTAAATGCTATTATATTTTATGATAATTTTTTTGCATATACCACACAAACATAATATCATAATGGAACAACTTGCTTGCAACAAAATTAGCCAAGGAATACCACGATTACTTAACACCGGTTTCACGTATCCTTGTAATAATATGAGGTTTTTTAAAAAAAATGTGTTTTTAGAAGTCGTCTGACATTAAAACAAAATTTACACAATAAGAACAGTTTCAGACGTATTTTTCATTGACGTACTTAGCTACCCATATAATGTTATTTTGATAGGTACCTACTTTAAAAAAAATTATTTAAACGAACTTCGACACGTTTTGTTTCATCGATTCCTATCTTAGGCTAAGACTTAGTAACAAAGATGACTAACGATTATAGTTTCGATTTCAGCGAAGGCAAAGATCTACAAAACGTGTTTGTCTGCAACCTCTGCGCACCCATCTACCAAAACAAATGTCGTCGAACCGCTTTCGTAACACGCTGACATAATAATGGGAATAATAATAATAATGCGATTGCGACTTTTATGTTTAGATGATTCCGCCTCCATTTTTATGCTAAACACAAAACTGGTATCCCTCGTTTTTTATGTCTTTATATCACATAAAAATTCACACACACACACACTCAAACGTGAGTATATAAAGAAGAATCGTATCCACTATCATCCTCACAAATACATTGTACACTGAACAGCAAGTACCACAGAAATTCAAACGAACAGAAACTCGTCAAAATGCAGGTAAGAGTCAAACATACAGAAATCGAATTTTTCCTTAATCGAAAAAAAAATTTGCTTACATTTCGTGCTTTTTACACAGGTCATGTTAGTTGTATCATCATTGCTGTTAGCCGCCGTTGCGGTCAGCGCCTACCCTGCAGTACAGAATCCGGAATCTAGAGCCGTCATCTTGAGTCAAGATTTGGGAAACAACCCCGATGGAACCTCCAAAAACAAGTATGTAAAAAAGATTTTTTTTTAAACTAAAAACACAAAGGACATTTTTTTTGTAAACACGTTAGTCTTATGTGTGAATTTTTATTTATCTTATTAAGGATAATATGTTGATTTGATTTTTATATATTTAACTAAAATATCTGAAATAGTAAAATATAATATTATAATGCATTAACATAACATTTCTAAATTAATTAATTTAAAACCCCGAGTGACTGTATATATAACGTAATATGGCATTAGGTACGTAATAGATAGACTGAATATTGAGAGATGTATATAGAATTTATGTATACAATTTATAATAATTTTAACTATTAGTCGATGATCAATGGATTATATTAGAGTAAAATTTTTCATTTTAACTTTTGTATGATTATTTTAATTTTAATTTTAATAATAAAAAATAAAAAAAGCATTGGTTCATTCTTAACTATACATTATATTTTATTACGGTGTCCTTATTGCAGCTTCCAAACCGAAAATGGAATCAAACAAGAACAAATCAGCTACTTGAAACCGGGCCCTGAAGGACCCGTAGCGGCATTCCAGGGAGCAGTGTCATACGTAGCCCCAGACGGCCAGACCATCCAAACCGGCTACATTGCCGACGAGAACGGTTTCCAGCCGTACGGATCCCATCTACCTACACCACCACCAATCCCAGCTGAGATCCAAGAATCACTGAGACTCCTCGCCACTCTGCCCAGTACTCCTGAACCAATATATCAATAGAATAGTGAATACGTAGTTCACCTCGGTTCGGCTCATCCTTATTCTTATACTATATTTAATCGTCTTGAAATGATTATCTGTAGCATGTTTAAAGCGGTTTCCAAGTATCAACCACATCTTTGTTAATATTATCCTTGTACTACTCTCCTATCTATTTACTTCAATATAATATAATCTATTACCATGATTTCGTCATTGCGATTTGTGTCGATGTCGATAACGTTAAATTTTATAATTACTATTTCTACCATTACTACTTTATCTCCATATTTATGATGATATATTATAATCATAATAAACGTACAAGCGTGTAATATATTATATATAATATCGATTGTATTATACAAAAAAATATATATAAATATTGTGTTTAAAAAAAATGCGTTTTTATTTCGTCATTTTTTCGCTTCCAGAATTATTTATGTTTTATTCAAAGATACCTGTTTATACAATATTAAATTAATCGTAAAATATTATTACGTAATTCTGTGCATATGAAGGCTACAAGTTTCAATAAGCATTTATACTAAAAACTGAGTAATGGTAAAATTTTTTATGAGTACTTTTTCTAAATTTCAAAAAAATACAATTATTTAAATAATGATTTTTATAGGATAGATTGTATAATTATTATATAATATACTGTTTCATTATAATATTTGATTACATCACTAACTTTGACAGTTGATATTTTGAATTATTCATTATTCATAGATATAATATAACTTGGTAAAGAATGATCTACCGTCATGAAGAAAATATAGACATATTATGTATTTAATTGAACCATATATTTCTATATTATTAAAGGTTTGAGTTATTTTTAAGATTTTGTGCTTGTATTGCTTAAAAACATAACCTCAGATTTCTTAGAAATAATATTGAAATCCATGCCACAGAAATATAACGTGAATACTAGTTATATTTGATATTAATTTATAGGTTAGTAAGATTTATTAGCAGAAGAGTTGATTTATCTTATGTTAATATTCGTTATGTAAAATATATTATTTAATGACGTAATTAGTAATAAAAATAAAGTAAACAAAACCATACTATGCAGTATACATTATATTTGATTTTGTACATAATTTAGAATAAAGTCTAATTAAAAAAAAATGGTTATTTTAGAAAAAATGTAATTATTTAAGTATATCTAATTATAATTAATTCCAAAAATATCTATTCATCATTAATGTTACAGACCTAAAAATTAATCAGGTATATTGAAAAAAAAATTTTGATTGACAATTAACAGTTGATAATATAATTCAAAAAGTATTAAGTCTAGTAAAATGTATATATTATAAATAATAAAACATATACCTATTAATGAGATAAGTTATTTTTAAGCTTAATCGTGTAACCTTGTCTCTACTAGAAATTTTGCGCAGCCAAAATTAAAATTAAATTGTAAATTTCCAAAAATAACTACATAACTATTGCTTATGTTCATGTATCTAATTGTTAATTTTTCACAATTTTTTTTTAAAATTATTTCAAATATTTAACATCCTATTAATATTTACATCAAATTTTGAATAAAGAAGTTTTTATTTATTAAACAATTGACAACTAAAATAAAAACATAATGACGGAAGTAAGAAAAACATTATTTATTATTATGAATTTTTTTTGTCGATTTGACCTGATTTTGTAAAATTGTTTTAACAGTTATTAGTCCATTAGAAGTTATTGATTTTGTGTCTCAAGTAAGTAATCAAGTAAGTTACCAAGAAAATAGATTAACTTATAAATTAAAATATTTTAATTTTAAGTACAAGTTTTCCCATCCATGTCATGAAGTGCTATTACTGAATAGCTTCTTCACTCAAGCCAACCATGACCTATTATAATATATATCCTTCCATCTATTGTGTTTATTGTAAATATATTTTATATAAATTTCACAAATAAAATAAATATGACAAAAAAAAAAAAAAAATAAAAATAATACGAGTTCTAGTTAAAGTAATAGGTATTAACTAAGAATTTATGTATATATTATTCAATTGATATTTTAATGACAGGGAATACAATCAAATGAAAAATTTAATTTATATTTAATTTACTACATTAAATATTCTACATTATTCTGCGTATAGTGACTAGAAATAATAATTTTAAGCCAAACTACCCGAAAAATAACGCCAATATCTTATAATACTGGTCTAAAAGATGAATAGTATTATGTATAATGTATACACGCATTCAAGTAGATAAATATTATGCTGATTATTTTATAATGTATATTATGTAGATAGTACTTACTAGTTAACTACTTGAAAGTCTACTCATCTAATTATACGCCAAGAAATATTGAACTGATCGCACAGTTATAGATAATAATATTTATAAATATCAACAATTATTTAACTAACCTAATTAGTGTACCTAGTACAAAAATATTAGGCGTTTTACGTGTCGTTTTTATATTAGATTATCACCAATTAGCGATAAAAAGTCAATATTATTAAAAAATCTCAATAAATCAATATTTTTAAATAAATACTAAGTGTCTCTACAAAAAAAAAATAAAAAATAAAAAAATAATAAAATAAATAAATACTAAGTATACTTTATTGTCTGTGAAAAATGTATCTGTGATAAATTTAGTTTCTTACTATGATAAAATTTAGCATATATTATCGCGAGTGGATAAATAATATTTTTGGTTTTCTGATTTGATGAGTAGATGATACCTAATCAACATATCAACTTAACACAGCTGTAACACCCAGCGTTTACAATACAAATAATTTTTGACCATTTAAAAGCAGCATTTAAAAAAAATTATTTTCTGCTCGGTTGACCGGTGTCAATTTGAGTATTTATTTTTAAAGTATTCTTTCAAGTTATTGTATAAACATTATTATTCTAATCAGAGGCATAAATGTATAAACGTCCAAATGCAAATTAGTCCGGTATCTATGTATCGAAATAGCCAAGAAAAAAGTGAATAAACATTAAGAATTATATCATGAGTTTTAGTGTTTGACAGTATATTCTAGAACTACTTTGCTGCAATAAATAACATTTATTTATTTATAAATTATATTTAATTTTTAACTTATATTTTAAGACTGTAGACAATGTATAAATCTATATTACATAAATAAGTAAGAAGTTAAATATAATGTAAAATAAACTTAAATCAAATGTACACCAATATAGCTTTTAAACCATTTTAATAGTATAAAACATTAAAACTTCGTCAAAAATAAATACAATACGTTTTGTACAACTTTAACGAATCTAATGTTTAAAATTATGTTGAATTGTGTTAATGTGTTGTGTAACCATTAAGACATAGTTTATTTTTATTTGAAAATATAACTTCAACCAAAGTTAATTTAAATATTTGAAGATGGACTTGAAAAAATACAGCGTGTGTACTACCACACGTATAAGTCTGGACGAAGTAATAAGGCACGACGTTTTTTATCATATTAGTTTTCAAGATCGTACTTTGCTTTATCTAAAACTTTATCATTCATATTAGGTATTAGATCAAAATGTTTTATAAACTATAATCATAGTTTTAAAATAATGTTTAAAATAACGATAATATTGCATCTACAAGAATATTAAAAAAAATGCTGAATGTCGCATATTTACCTACCATCTATTATCTATATACAGATAAGAATTTCCATATTATAAAGTAAAAGAATATAATCAAAAAATTTATCAATACATTTTTAAAAGCACATATTATATAATTATAATATCTTTATTATATTAATTTTAATGAATTATATTTAAAAAATATATATACTAAATTCACTAATTTTAATAATTTTTCATCTAGTAATTTTTGTACATTTAATCCTATCAACCCTAGCATAAAGTAAATTTGATCATTTTTAATGTGAAAATTTCTAATGACTATTGAAATTATCATAAAAAAATAGAAAATCTTAACTCTATTGGATTCTGTTTGGAAATAAATCTAAATACCAAATAATTACAATGTTGGGCAACTGCTTTGGTACGCGAGAATTGTGTTATGTTTTTATATAAAAGTTTCATATTTATAAAATAACATAACTTGGACAATACCTAGGTTAAAATAAATTACCTTAATCTTTTTAGCATACGACATTATTATTGTTTTGGAACAGTTCAATTTTTAATAGCCCATTATAATATAATGGCTGAAAAAGTTGAATTATAATATAAAACAATAAGACTCGAGCGTTTATTTAATAGAATCATTGTTTAAAATAAAAATAAAATCTTTCTTTGTTTATTCATTTTAAGTTTGTATTTTATAGACCATTGTCATTTTAAAATATATTGTTAAGACTAACTTACAAAATGTAAAAAAAAAATCCAATCTTTTAGCAAAAATAGTGAAGAACGAATCGATTTCTGCTTTACAAAAAATGAATATTACACATATTTTCATAATAGGCTTACGAATTTACCATTAATTAATATTAAATACCTAATAAACTAATTATTTTTCATATTATAGAAAGATTCACTACATTTATCAAATGTCATTCTTTTGTTGTATTTAACGACTTCAGATAGAATTAAAATATAACGTAGTTATAGAATATAAGAAAAGTGAATTCTGAAAAAATATTGTTGGGAAGTTGAATCGAAATCAATATTATGAGGACTATTAATTGGAAAATAAATTGTCTCCTTTGAGAACGAGAGGAAGAAAATATTACCATTGTCAATTATGAAAATAAAAAATATGCATTTTATTGTGATCACAGAGTGACTAAATATCTCATCTACAAAAAAAAAAAAATGATTTTCTTAACTGCGTAAAAAGAGGTTTTTTGATAGGTAATTAATATACAACCGTCAAATACACGTAATATATATTCTTTATATACGATATACCAACAATAAAAACTAACACCTTTCAAAGTGAAAATGTTTTTTAAATATGATGATAATGATAAAATAATGATTTTATTTTTAACAGTTTAATAACTATTAATAATCACAATGCTAGATAATTAAAATAAAATAACAATAATAATATTTTTACGAAAAACCTAGTAAACAAGTACATAATTAAAAAAAACTAGGTATAATATTTTAACAAGCATCGATTGTGTAAATTGTAAACACGTTATTGTCAAATCTTTAAATGCATAACATGGATGAAAAATTAATATACTTATTTATAATGATTTACATAATTTTTTATGAATTAAAATA